GCAGGTCTTCTGTGAGTCATATTTTTCTTTTTATCATAGTGAGGCTTCTCTGAGATTTTCAGTAACTGCTGCAAATGAATTTCAACTATTTACCACTTAATGAGCAAGAAAGCAATTTTGTTGTTAACACAAGTTACCACAGAGTATCTTGTCAGCACTTTATTGACGCCGTCTTTGAAGATAACATGCTTTACTCATTACTTTTTAATTGACTACAACTCCCTAGTTCATTATTGTCTGTCTCCAACTAATAATTTCATCTCTTTGGTTTCTTTCAGTTTTCTTCTACAGGGCAAAAGAAGAACAGTTTTCAATAAAACCTAACCGTGTCCACACAGCCCCGCAGGTCCTTGCTCTCTCTGTCTTCACTCATCTTTGCAGAGCACCAGGGGAATGAAAACTGGGACAAACAAAAGGAAGCCCATAGGAAACATCTTGCTTGTACATCCAGGTCTGCATCTCAACAGTCTCTTCCTCTGACATGTAAACAGAAGTGAGTTGGGAATAAAATCAGGCGCGTTAAAGGAAAAGTCCTTCAACGACACCATCAGACCTATATTGACTTTACTACTCCCATTTTTATTTTTCCAAAAAAGCTTTTTGGCTTCTGTGTCCAGTTTTACAAAGAATCCTTTTTTCCAAACAGAGCTTGCGTTGTTTTGAGTAATGGGGACACTGACAAATGGTGATGATCTGTCATCCTGCCTTTCCTGAGCCTAGGTTTGTCTTTCAGAAGTGGCCTGGAAAATGGAATACAAAAAAAAGAAAATAAGTCCTCTAATAAAATGCAAGATGGACGACTCCAAGAGTCATAGCTTAACACAGCTGGTGGAGTGGATCTGGGTATCAGCTCAAGAAAAACATCTGAAGTTCTAGCAGTTCAGGTCTGTGTGGTGCCAAGCATGACACAAAGGCCATTTGTTTTTCGCATGCAAAGGTTACATCTTGTATGGTAAACTCATGATATTTCATCTCATAACTGACAAAATAAACATTTTACGCTCCATCTGCACGACCAATTTCACTTTGGCAGGCATTAAAAAACAAACAAAAACATAAACATAACCCCATTTTTATTGCAGAAATGGAAATAAAAAGCGAGAAGCCCTCTGGGCCTTGAATTTGGTGCTGTATTTCCTCTAATTCTATGTCTCAGGTTTCACTTGGTTCCAGTCCTCCTGCATAGACACCACAGCAAGACATAGACACCAGTGAAAGCCCCTGAAATCTTAATGAACAATGTCTCCACTGCTGCTCCACCCACCACCCCAAACACCACCCACCAACCACCAACATAAGCAACTTCAGGAAAGACCCTCACCACAGTACAAGTAGTCTGTGGTCTCTCCATCAAGCCGCTGCTGGCTCCTCCTTCTGTTCCAGCCCCAAACCCCCCGACCTCTGCTTTTTATGATTGGTTATTTGAGCCAGAGTCCAATGAAACTGTACATGTTCCACAGCCAGAGCAGAGCGAGAGACCCAAAACCCCCGAGCTGGAGGACTGCAGTCGAATCTGCTCCAAATTACTTGCACGGCTGCAGAGCACATGGGGTTGAAAGGCTTATATAAGCCTGTGGTAGGAATATTCAACCCGTGTCACCTTCTTTTGAATTCCCTGTGCTCTTTGTTTTTTTTATAACTATTTTAGCATCACAAATAGAAGCTCTGGGAGTAGAAAAAGGTCATTTTTTTTATATCTACTTTACTTCCATAAGGAAAATGTACTGTATGTCACTGATGTATGAAAAGTGTGGGATGAATAAACAGGATTTCCAGTGACCTTATGCAACATTTTACACGTAAATAAAATTCAATTTTCCAATGTGCCACCCAGTACCACACAAAAGTAAATTACATGGAAATGCAGAAACCCTACAGCAATAACTATTTAGCACCAAATGTCACCAAAACTAAAAGAAAGCAAACAGCCTAATCTTCAGCTCCAACTAAACACTTACACCAAACACTACAGGCTGCTACTATCTACCTGCCTAAACCTCATTATTCAGCTAAATAGAGTGGGTTGTAGCTTAAAATGAAGGCGAAAGAGGAAAAACTTAGCAATATAAAATTGTTAATATAGTATTAGCATTTAGGCGGATGTTACTCCAAGACCATTGCGCTTCATTGATTCGTGTCTTCACTCCTGGTAAATGTACGTAGATTGTATCATGGAACTCAGATACAGTAAAATCAGCTCCTGTATCATTTCCATCACTGTAGTATCTGTGATTGCCATGGTCATAAAGTTGGGAAATTTCAAACAGCAGCAGCAAACACTCATGCAAACAAATGGTGTAGCAAGAGGAAAAGACAGGGATTTACAAAAGTCATGAAGATTCATTCTCTGGGAACCATGAATGTACCAAATTTTGTACCAAATCATCTTGTAGATGTTGAGATATTTCACTGGACCTATGCCGCTACATGAAAAGTCAGGCAATGCCAAGCCATTAAATCGATGTATAGATATATTGGGATATTTCAGTCTGGGCCGAGCAATCCACATAGCCAGGCCTCAGTCCATTCTTCAAAGGATAACACAAAGACCTCACTTAAATAACACACGACTGGTGTGTGGCCATTGGGTTTAAACTTGTCAAGAAAAATTGTGGCCTTCAAAAGACAACATGCAGACACTCTGGGTACCCTCTATGGTGTTACAATAAATTCTCAAAACGTCCAGGCACTGGGGGATCAAATTAACACTAATGCATCTTACCTCAGTTCTACTTTTTTTCTACGTCTACCTCATCTCTTTGTGTCTCTGGCCTGTGTCATCTCCAACCAAAACATATCCAATAGCTGGCCTGAGCTCGAGTCCTCTCCTGGACAAACAGATGGTATGTCAGCCAGATCTCCAGCTGTCAGACAAGAGACGCGTTTGTTTTGCTCGACCAGACAAAAAAAATGGGTCACCATTATACCACTGATAGCTGAAACAGTCCGGAGGAGGGCAGACACATTTCAAGGGGGAGATGCTATTTTCCACTAATGAGGATGTCATATGAGGACACAGAAGAAAAACAAAGATGGTTTCACTGAGGCACAATTGTGTTATTTTTCAAATGCAGAATTCAACTCATGAAACCAATACATGTAAATAATGGCACAGTGCTTTCAGGAATATTTGGAAAAGAACAAAGGAAAGTTCAGTCTGAGACTTCCTGGCGATTTGTGTTTGCCAGAGCAGATGTGAGGTCCAAACCAGGTGGCTGAGATTTACTCTGATAGTTAATCATATCTTGCCTTTCTCACAGCTGTTTTTTAATGCCTTAAATGGTGCCAAAGTCTCCTTAATCAAAAAACCTTCAATCATAAGTCACAGACAGTAAGTGTAAAGGTGCAGAGAAACTGAATTTACAGGGTGATTTTACAGCTCCACTGAGGAAAAGAAATGAGGAGTTTGTTGCCAAAACAGTACGCCTCGATGTACAGCAGTTAATCATTTCATAGCTCTAAACGTACAGAGGATCACGACTGTAATGGTGTCAGTCAGTTTGTCAACAAGCGACCATGAAAACCCCAGTTATGTGCAGTAGTTTGTCTTAAATATGGTGATTCTATCAAAACTTTTACTCATTCCTAAAAAACTGCACCGCCTCAAGAAAATAATCAGTGAAAATGAGGAAACAATCAGTTTAAAAGCATCTTAATCATATTGCTTTTTATCAGCGGAGACTTACATATCAGAGTCTTGTAAACATAGTCCTCATATACGTGAACAAAACAAGCTTGAAAGCATCTCTCCCCAAAGCCATCCGTGATTGTACTGACCCTCCAACATTCAAATCACTGACAAAAACACACCTT